TTATTATTATTATTATTATTATTATTATTATTATTATTATTATTATTGTACTACAAGGCCTCTTCCTCCTACCCCTCATCGATCAGTCACCATCTTCATTATACAAGGAAGCAATTAGTTACCTTTTACCAGAAAGGAAAGGGAGGCATTTATGATTTCAGATAGCCCTGAATTTTGTTTTGTATCTATGGAAAGTCCATTAGCCCACTCTTAAATACCTGCAGCACAAACAATCCCTTCCCTACATATCACCATTCATAAGATATTCCTTTGAAGTAACAAAGCAAAATGATGTAAGTGCAGATATATCGTGTCCCACGTGTATGAACTCTTTCTTAAGCTGTCTAGTAGGACTAACTCTTTTACTATCCTGATGGCAAGAGGCAGCATGATATTTCTAGATAGAGGTCTGAGCTTAGAGTCTGGAAGACTTGAATTCAAATCTTCTTCCTAACACTTTCTGGCTTTTTGAGCAAGGGCAGAACCAACCAGTTCTCTGAAGCATAATTCAGTCAACTATAAAATAGGGATGTGATGATAATTTAGTACCTACCAACAAAGTGTTGTTATGGAACTCAAGAGAAATAATATCTGTAAAAGGGCCTTATAAACCTCAAAGGGCTATAAAAGTATCACCTATCTGTAAAGCTTGCAATATGGTATACCCCTATGGCTTAAAAAGTAGGATGGCCATTTCTGATTTTTGTCTGGACCAGATCTATATTTTCAGTACTGTAGGGAGCTTCCTATGATGAATCTGCTCTATCTGTGTAGATCAACACTGTCTCTGAAAGTTATAGCCTTCCCCAGGGCACAGAGAGGTTATTAGTCTTGTCTGAGATCACACAGCTAGTATGTGTCAGAAATAGAACTTGATGGGGCAGCAAGGTGGTGTAGTAGATAGAGCACTGGCCCTGGAGTCAGGAGGACCTGAGTTCTAATTTGACATCAGACACTTGACACTTACTAGCTGTGTGACCCTGGGCAAGTCACTTAACCCCAATTACCTCACTCCCCCAAAAAAGTAGGACTTGAACTCAGGTCTTCCTGAATCTAAGGCCACTGCTTCCCTTTTCAGTATGTGCATGAAATTGTAAGTATTTAACCCTATATATTTGTGTGTGTATATATGTGTGTGTGTGTATATATATATATAATCTATATACACACATATATACATACATACCTATATACATATATGCCCTGGAAAGTATCATTGCATGAAGTTATACGCAGCACAATGATGAAATCATCTAGAAAATGTTGTTCAGCCAAGCAAATAGACTGTATGATTTAGGCTTCTCTAAGGAAACCACAGGAGACCAACTCAAAGCAGGTACTGTATGTTTCTATAGTTTAAATTTTCTTACGTAGAAAAAGGCAGAAGGGAGCTAGTGGTGTGCCTTGGCCAGGATTAGTTCTAATGTGAGATAATAACTCTTTACCAAGACCCTATCTGGTTCCATCTTGGAATGAATCAGATACAAATCTAGACGCTGGTCCAGGTAAAAATGTGAATGATGACTGATGATGATGCTGAGTCCTCGAATGTTGTGTATGTGTCATCAGGTAAATCTCAATGTCATGAAGAAGAGAGGAGAGGGAAAACTCTAAAGATGCCAGCGCATCCACCCTGAGAGCCCAGCTGCATCCCCTTCCTCTCAGCTGCTTCCAAAGCACCTGCCATTTTTAATCCAGATAAATTGCATGTTTGTCGACCACAAGAACCTACCTGTGTCTAAAATTACCACCTGACTATGAGATTAAAGCTGCTTTCAAAGTAGAGCATATTGTTTGCAGCCTCACCTTGGGCAAAGAAGCTGTCTGAACTGGATACCTTGGAAGCAGACAAGACTGGGTTGGAAAGTCCTCATATGGTTACTGAAACTATTAGGCTTGTTAATAATAGTCAAGAAGAAATGTGGCTTAGTGGAAAGAGAGTTGGCCCCAGTCAGAAAGACCTATGCTCAAGTTACCTCTCTGACAGATACTAACTGTGCAACCTTTGGAAGTCAGGAGGCCCTGGGTTCAAGTACTGCCTCTGTGACCTGGAGCAAATCCCTTAGCCTCTCAATACCTCAGGCTACTCTCTAAGACTGTAAGTTGCCAATCAGCATTGATAGAGAGAAATTCCTCTCTTCAGACTTTACTGAACTTGATGAAAGAACAGATGAGTCCAGACTAAAAAAGCAAAATAAAATTAAAAATTGCCAGCTATTACCTAATATAGTACTGTATATCTTCTGCAAACTTTCAAATCATGCATTTGACAAAAAAAAGGAAAGCTGTTCAAATATGGCTGGGCTAGGCCCTACATCATTCCTGGGTTAGTAGTCATAGTTAGTAGCCAGGCAGATTAGCATCTCTTGGTTTGAAACCTCTTAATGTTTTGATTGCAGGAAATATCTGCAAAGCAGAGTAATTAGGTTCAGGCTTTAGGAAGTGGTTTGAACTCCCTTCTGAATGTGGTTGACCTAGGAATAGGCCAAAGTAGTCTGTTCTGATGATTTTAGTTTTTGACGTGCTGCAAAATTTAACATGTGCAAAAGGTATTTTTAAGTAACATACAGGTTGGAAAGGGAACTAAAATGGCAAACACCGACCAAGTCCCGTTTGGTTCTGCCATGATGCAGAGTGAAAATGAACCTTTTTGGCTTAACAAAATGAACCCCTTTCCCCTCGGCACCAATTCTGTATATAAATTGACTAGCCTGAAAATTCATGGCATAAATCTTTCATCCCTCCTTTAAGATAGATGTTCCTGAGTCCAGTACACATTTATGATTAAATCTCAATTCCTTAGGGATAGTTACGATGATAGACTATTCTCACAGAAGTCGGCAGACACTTCCTGGGGGCTGAGCGGGACATTGTTTTACAAGAAAAAAAGTGCCTTGTGGCCCATAACAATTATAGGACATATATATGTCCTAAAACAGTAATTATGTAAACATGTGATTTGTCGAAGCAAATTAAGTTATTAGGAGTTGTTTGGAGCTTACCATGTCTTATGTATTTAGGGAGCCCTCAGCTGCAGCTGGAAAGAGAAGGTTTTGCCGCTAAAACTTTTTCCCAGGATTCAGACAACTTAGAATCTCATTGTATCTGAGCCGTGATGAGGCAGGTGTTGATCTGTTCCACATCAGTTATAAGGAATTCAGCCCCTGTAACAGTATATATTCTAGACATGACCTAAGTGCTTCCAAATGTTTACAGAGAAGAAGAAGCCATGGTCTAGTTTGGAGAAACCTGCTTGCTCAATAACCTCACTCTTTAGCCTTTCTTTACTTGAGTAAAGGATGGAAATAAACTAACAGATGCAGAGAAAGGAAGTGGGGAGAAAGAGGCAAAGACATTTGGAGAGATTAAGATAGAGAGAGACAGGAAGAGAGAAGGAGACAGAGGACAGAGAGGCACAATAGATGAAAAGATACAGTAAGATTTACCTAAGGGTGGACCGCTTGTGTTGTACTCTTTTGTCATTAAGGACCTGGTGGGGGTAGCTTTGTTGCACAGTGGAATAATAATAGGGCCAGAGATAAAACAGCAGCTGCAGTCAGAATGTTTCCTATTCTGTGTTTTCCAGTTAGGATATCAGAGAGGTTACCTTTAAGGATTCTAAAAAAAGACTGAGCGAGACAGTACTCTACCCCATCCTACCCCCTTACCAAGAACTTTTTGCCTTCTCTCTAAATAACCTTTTCAAAGCAAGACTGCTGGGGATATTGCTTTTAGAAGGAAAAAAATGGTAATGTGGATCACCCTTATAGTTGAAATAGAAAAGATATTTCCTGTGGTTTGGTCAGTGATAGAGTGACTGAATACATAGTCAGATATTATGCTAAATTAGGGGACCGGTAACAAAGATGATCTAGACATGATTAGCATTTGTTTGGGGGCTGCACCTTGTAACTATTTTTTACAGAAATATACCTTGCTTATTTGGAATGACTTGGATAAATGTTAATAGTAGTTTGTAATCCCTGAGCACAAATCAGCCTTCTTGCAAATGAAGTGACCTAGAATTGTGCTGGGTGTCAGAAAGGAGGGATAATCCACATAGAGATAATTGAGAGTTGACTTAATGCCAGTGGAATGTGACTATTACCCCAGCCTACCTATTGTTCTTGCAAGTAAATATTGAAGAATGTGCTTGAGCCATTATCTATGAATAGTCTATAAATTTGGACAAAACAGAGTTTGTTTTTACCTAAAAGTACCACTAGCCCCTTAACATTAGTCATTAATAGTTAGTTGGAAGAAGACATAGGATGCCCAAGCAACTGTTTATAAGATGAAGGAGCATTGAAAAAGGCATGGCAGCGCTAAGGACTCCCAAAGAGGTCGAAAGGTGACTTTTTGTTGAATCATTGTCACTAAACGACAGGTTTCCCCTTGCTGTGAAGTGTCCAGATCCTTTCTTCTTTCTCCTTGCTTCCTTTAAAACCAGATGTATGGTTATTTCTAAATTTTCTGTTAAAAAATCCTTTCATCAGCTGAGACATGATAAACCGGTTCAGGGCCAGGCAACATCTTTTATGGCTAAGCTATAAACCACTGAAAAATAGAATTTATAAATTCTGGGTTTGCTCTTGCCACTTATATTGCTTCTCTCAAAGATTACAGTTCCTAAAATATTTATATGTTGTTAAAGTTGAATTGCTATTTTCTTCTAGACTAAGAAATTAATGTTTAGTAGGACAATATGCTTAATGGTCAGGATAGAATGGAAATCTAAGAAAAATATAATAGGCCAGATCTTGCCAAGTGATGGAGCTGCTGAATCCCCAGAAGTGTTAAATTCACATGAAGGGGCTTTAACTCTTTTAGGCCACTGGGAAGCTATTTAGAAAATTACTGTTCCAGTTGTGAGTTATTTTTAATTTGTCTCCTTTTATAGCCACTTTATTACTTACCCTGATGTAATTTACACTTAAGGAGTAGCTCTCTCACCAGGTAGGAAATGGCCTAATTACTTTTGAAATATCCAGATTCCATGAAAAGGACATTTCCTTGTTTGCCAAGGTTGCAGAATCAAAATAACTCATTTAGCGCCTAATTTCATAGTTAAATCTGTTAATCTGCTTCCCAGGATTTTTTTTTCTAAAGAATTAATATGAGTTTCATCCTCCTGTTCCATTAGGGTCATGGTTGGGAAGGACATTTTCCTTTGAAATGGCTAATTCTACTTTTCATCAATGTTGCTATATCACATTTGCACATAGTAAAACAGCATGTAGTAGAAGAGATTAGGAAATAGGCAAGTGCTTTGCCTCCATAACTCTAAATCAATTCAGCAAAATGATTCGCTCTTTCTTTGGAATCCATAGCAATATTCTTTTTAATCACTTAGATTCTATGCAGATTTAGGCTAAATTAAAGGCTCTTGGTGGGTACCTGGAGAACAAATCCACCTCTACCTCACCCTTTGGCCCAACCTTGATGATAAACGTCACATGGAGCATGGAAAGGGGAAAGGGTCGGGGGGGAAGGAGCATTAGATTGAGAGTTAGAAGACCTGGGTTCAAATCCCAGGTAACTTACCTATACAACCTTGGTCAAAACACTTGTCCTCTTTACCTGTAAAAATTAGGGAAGTAGACTAGATAATTTCTCTAGGTTTCTTCTAGCTCCCGATCCTGTAATCTCCAGATTTTCATCAATCCCAAGAAACCATATATCTGCAAATCTCCAGTAGTGAGATGATAAATATTTTCCCAGTCTTCTTGATGGAATTGGTGTAATCCAGGTCTAATTCAGTTTTAAATTGGAAATCTTTTTTCCAGTGTCATTGCAGCAACATAAGCATAGATATTTGAGGTATTCTACAGGTACACCGTAATGTAGGAAGTCCATATAAGATAGTGCTGCCCTCAGATCTTCTCTCTGAATCTTCACTGTTCTGTAGCACTATTCTTGGCCAGTTTCTGCATTCCATTCATTTCTTTGTATACTTAACTGTGTTGTTCCATTTGTAATAGGAGGACTCTGTCCAGGGTCGAATGATCCTTGCATGGAGAAGCCCTGTCCTGGGGACATGCAGTGTGTTGGTTATGAAGCCAATAGAAGACCATTCATCTGTCAGTGTCCACCAGGAAAACTTGGCGAATGCTCAGGTACAGAATGGTGTTGAATAAGGAATATTCTAACTTTGGTTCTTATAGCACTTAACACCTTGATTAAATCATTCCCCCCAAACTCTTAAAAGGCATTTCTTGACAGCATATGAAATGTCTTTCTGAATTGACCCAGTGTAACACATACTCTCCAAACTTATTTGAGATTCCTCCAAGCTTCTTGCTCTCATTCATTTGGGTAGCCACTCCAACCTGGAGATCATAGACTGCGTGATGGATTTAGAATCAGGAAGTCCTGTCTCAGACCCATAGGTCACTATGCAACCTTGGGCAAATCACTTCATCTCTCTAGGTCATCATTCCCTCATCTGTAAAATGAGGATTCAGTGACCTCTAAGATCTCTTTCTGCTCTAAATCTGTGAGCTTGTAATATCCTCACATCCGATGTTGTGAGGGGGGAGCTGTCAGTCAACAAGCATTTTATTTAAATGCCTTCTTTGTGCCACTGGGTTCTACCAGGAATCCAGAACCCAGAATTCAGTATTTCTACTAAATAAAAGTGAAATAACTATGTATTATTTATAATGGAATGACAAAAAAAAAATGCTGTAGGCTTTTTTGGTTTCATCTGATGTATTTTAAAAGTATGACATTATAGAAAATAGAAGATTGTTGGAGCAAAGGGCAGCCCATCTTTAGTGTAGTCCTTGCTATTCAGAGTGTTGCATAAATCTGCCATCATAAGAAGATAGTACTTTAGATGGAAAAGTCAATCATGGTCTATGGAATAAACCAAGCACACTTGGACCAGTAAGGAATGTATTCTCCTTTTGAGATGGATAGTAGCATATTTCATAAAAGCAGAAGCATCCACCGTCATGTCCTGGAAAAAAAAATCTTATTTATGTGATTTTAGCTTTAAATCTTCCCTTCTTGACCTTCATCCAGCTTTCAATTTGGCTGTTGTGGCCTTCATTCATTTCCAAGCATGACTTTTTGAATTCTAACATTGATTGTTAAAATATATTATTGGGAAAAAAAAGGGAAATATAATCATTAGTCATTACCAAAATGTCATTTTGTTATTATGAAGCATGTCTGAAATTCAAAAATATGAAAAAATTTGCAGTCAAGACTCAGACTCAGTCGGGATTTTTGACATTTCTAGCTCAGTTATTTAGAGATTACAATACAATATTCTTAGCTATCAACCCCAAGAACAAAGCTGTATACAAAGTGGGGTGACTTCCATACTCCATTAATCATCCCCAGGAACCTACCCTTTGAAGATACTGTTTACTTTTTAAAAAGAGTTAGAGTTAGAAAATGACAATTTACTCAATATATTCAGAATGTGCATGAGTAAATAGATGTATAGTATTTACAGGATATTTAGACTAGAGCCCAAATCTTTTCTCTCCAAACTTCCCTTCTGCCCATCAAGTCACATAATCCACATCTATGACATCGACCCTTAATTTTCCTTATGCTTATTATCCTATTAATAGATTGACAGAAATTTTGTTCTCTTCCTCACTCAATAATCAGTAAGCATGTGTTAAGCACCTTCTATGTGCCAGGCATAATGCTAAGCTCTGGGGATGAAAAAATAAGACAAAAGACATTCCCTGCTCTCAAAGAGCTCACAATCTAACAGAAAAAACAACAAGCAAACAAATATGTACAAACAAGCTATATACAGGATAAATAGGAAAGAACTGAAAAAAGGAAGGCATTAGAATTAAGAGGGTTTGGGAAAGTCTTCCTGTATAAAATGGAATTTCTCTATCTAGTATTTCAGTTTTGATCATTGCCAATTAAAATCTTTGTAAGGAAGAAAAAGAGACTCACACTTAAAACCAGACATTTCAGGAACTTACTTTATAAACATTTCAAATGTGTTGGAAATATTAGGTAAAGTGTCATTTTTTAATTATTTATAATCATCCTTAGTAAAGATCAGTTCGAACTGACTTTTATTTTGCAATACTTGGGAAATCCATTACTTGAAAGGAGGGGAACAATTTTATTTAGTAGTGGAATTTCATTTGATGGTACTAAAAGCGCTTCAGTCCCTTCAAAAGCCATTTGTTGCATCTTTTTGAAAGGTAGAATTTTGCTGATTCTTTATAGGAAGAGTTACAGTGGCACAGTGATAATTCGGGTTTTGAAATGTTAAATTTCCCATTGTCACAGGGGCAACCCAGATCCCTGGGATCTAATTGCTTAATAATTTTTTTCAACCCAAATTTAAGAAGTGTGGTATGTAATGGAGAAACTGTTTTTAATCTGAGGTTGGTAGTTTTTTATTTAAAAGCTTTCTCCAAAAATGGCTTCATTAGCTGCGCGTGATCTTTAATTAACTCGCTTGGCAGTTGTTGGGTAATTTTGTGTGTCCCTGCTCATTTATGAACATTAAAAGTATATGTATCTTCTCATAATGATTCTTTTAGGGCACACTTCTCTAAGCTTTGCTGGAAACAGTTACATCAAATACCGGCTTTCTGAAAATAGCAAGAAAGAGGAATTTAAGTTGGCTCTGCGTCTGCGAACACTGCAAAGCAATGGGATTATAATGTACACCAGAGCAAATCCCTGCATAATTCTGAAGGTAATTAAAGTGGGTTATCTTTTGCTGCAGTCATTTCTTTAGCTTATATGTTTCCATTTTGGCTCTTGATTCGGGGAATGCTGTAATCATTCTGTCTTTGGGATCAGAAGACCAGAAGCACAATTCAGGGCAAAAGAGGACAGCAGTCAAACTGGGAGTGGGGCCAGTCCCCCCATTTTCCTTTTGAACATCTAGCATCAAACTTGACTCTGTAAATTGTGTCATCTCCCTCTGGAGTAGGTTCAAGAGTAGTCTCCTTCAGCTATACTCACTCAACAATTCATAGCAACTCTTCCCCGGGGATAGCATTAACTGTAATCCTCCTCCACTCTACTGAGCACCTCTCCCTGCCCAATTATGAAGCCTGCTTCAGTTCTGAGCCTTCAGGCCAGAAGTATGGGGGACTTTGGTTTTCCGGTCATTGACAGAGTAGCCTGACTCCTCAGCTGTAACACCTCTGTCATTAAAAAACCAGTCTGAAAAAAAAAAGAAAAAAAAATAGTCTGGGTTCTTTCCAGGGATGCCTGAGATGTATAGAATCTATGAACAAGACACTCTACACCCCCTCCCAACCAAATCCCCCTTCTGGGCCAGTATTCAACATCCCTGCAATTAGCACTGCATATTCTACAATAGCCCAGCAAATCACAAATATACAGATTTCCCTGAAAAATGAGAGAATGAAAAAGAAAGAAAAAAATAAATTTTTTTTAAATTTTAAAAAATGAGAGAGTGGTTATATTTATCAAACCCACACATGAAAGACCAAAATGCAGATTAATTTCTTTGGAGAAATTTTAAACTCAAAATATACAAACTTACCTAATGACTTATTTGGACAGGAAATTTTAGTACTAATTCAGAAATCTTCAAAGGCTGTTCATACATCCAATCAATGTAGTAGCCAACTGTGACTTCAGAGAATGACAATACTACCTCCCTCCCACCTCTCAGAAGAGAGGTGGGGGATCATTAGAGCCGAGTGAAGCGTGCTTTTACCTCTAGCCAATCAGATATATTGTGACTTAACCCTGTTTGCCTCAGTTCCCTTATCTGTAAAATGAGCTGGAGAAGAAAATAACAAACAACTCCAGTATCTTTGCCAAGAATCCAAAAGAGGTGGTGAAGAGTTGTCACAACTGAAAAATGACTACACAACAAATCAAACACACCCAGTACGTTAGGTTTGTTTTGCTTAACCGTACAACTTTATTCTGGGCAACTGTAATAACACAGTAGATAGAGTGCCAGACCTGAACTCAGAAAGATTCATCTTCCTGAATTCAAATCTAGCCTCAGGCACTTACTAGCTGTGTGACTCTGGGCAAGTCACTTAACCCTGTTTGCCTCAGTTTCCTCATCTATAAAATGAACTGGAGAAGGAAGTGGCAGACTACTCCAGTATCTTTGCCAAGAAGCAAAGGAAGTGTCAGACATGATTGAAACAGCTCAACAACAACAACAACAGTGGGCGACTAGATGGCGTAGTAAATAGAGTACCTGCCCTGGAGGCAGGAGGACCTGAGTTCAGATCCAGCGTCAGACACTTGTTAGCTAGCTGTGTGACACTGGGCAAGCCACTTAACCCCCATTGCCTCCAAAATTAAAAAAAAAAAAACAACAAACAACAGAGATAACAACCAAGCAACTTTATTTCAAGGGAGGGTTCTATTGGCAGTGAAGGGAGTAAGTAGAAGTCATTGAGAAGCTCCTCTTCAAGCTAGAAATAAAACCTCCCTCTCTGCCATTCTATACCAGGTGTGGTCATCATCTTTCTATTAGAGATTCTGCCCTCAGGGGATGTGGCCAGCTGGGGAAAATCTACCCTTGTGGAGGGCTATTTAGGATCTTGGAACTCAGAACTGGAAAGGACTTTAGAAATCATCTAGACACCATGAACCCTACCCCAAAAACCACCAAGGAAGGACCCTGCTTTGCTTCCTGCTGACCCCTGTACACCCACATAGCCTGTGTGTGCCTATGGGATCAGAAGACCAGAAGCACAATTCAGGCGCCTAATGCTTATTATTCCCTGGAACGTCAGTCAGCATCTAGAGCCAGAAAGGACCTCAATGGCTATGTAGTACAATCCATCCAAGAACAAGGATCCCATCTACAACATCCCCACAAGAAGGCATCCAGCCTTTACTGGAAGAGCACCAGTGACCACTGCCTCCTGAGGCAGGCCATTCCACTCTTGGCTGTAGTTATTAGAAAGATTTTCCTACTGTCAGGCTTAAGTTTGGCTCTTTGGAGCTTCCAGCCATTGCTACTACTTCTGCCGGTTGAGGACGCACAGAGCCCAGCTCATCCCTCCTCCACGATAGCCTTTCAAGTCCTTGGAGAGGTATCATGCTGCCATGTCTTCTCTTCTCCCTACTGCACGTTCCCAAACCTTTCATTTGCTGACATGATCTCGATGCGCTTCCTCATCATCTTGGCTGCCATCCTTATGAGTCTCTCCAATTTATCAGTGTCACCTAAAATGTGGTACCCTGAACCCTACCAAATAGTCCAGATGGGTTTTCACCAATGCAGAGTACAGAGAAACTATCACCTCCTTTTTGCTGGATATTATGGCACTCTTATTGGAGCCCAAGTCAAAAAGGAACAATTCGACTGGTTTGGTCCCTAACATATCATACTAAGTGCTCTATCTGACAAAAATATCAGATAATGTCCACCTTTGGTGGCTATGATTATCCTTAGAGCAAGTATTTCCTAACCGTTTTTGTGTCATGGACCCCTTTGGAAATCTGGTGAAACCATTGGACCCCTCCTCAAAATAATGCTTTAAAATGCATAAAACAAAACTATGGTTTTAAAATAAATAAATAAAGTGTATAAAATAAAAATGATTTGCAAAGGAAACCAATTATATTGATATAGTTTTAAAGATATGGGTTTTTAAGTTCATGCAACCCAAATTAAAAACCTTAGCCTTAGAAGAAGCTTACAGAAAATCCCATACTCAAGCTTTTTTCTTCAATTTGGGGGGAAAATATTATCCATGTTTTTTTGGAAGGCAATGTTGAGAAGAATATTTCTATGTAGCTAGACTTTATTGACCAGAAGATTATGATCAGCTTTTTATAGTGGGAAAAGAAAAATACATACAAAATTGAGGGCTCTAGATTTTTCTATATTTTGATTTGCTTTCAAGACAGGCTCCCCTGTGAACATCAGATGTTTTCAGAATGTGTTTAAAGGTGGAGAATGAAAGTGAAATTTTCAGGAACTATTATGGGATTCTTCTACCTATTCTGTCTATAAAGCATAATGCAAAGAAACCAACCAATTTGTGCAGCTTCTGTTCTATTCTTTACCAATACCTGTCTTTGCTTCCTTGGTCCCTCTTTGCCTTCCTCTCTTGCTTCGAAGTTCAAGTAGGGGCCTGAAGCCTTTGATGAATGCAGTTTTTTTTATTAAGCGAAAGTTTACAGTATCTTACACATAGTATGTTCTCATTAAATGCTTAGCGAATGGAATTCTAATGAATAAATATCTTCCATGGCATTGAACTTGGGGTAATCAAAAGCACTCACAGACAGGATTTCTGTTTCCTCCAAAATGGGGCTTCTCTTAACCTTGACATTTCACTTTAATCTGAAAAGCAACCTCTTTTCTAAATCCTGGGATATAAATCAAACAAAAAATTATTGATGTTTGACAGATACAAAGATTCTGGCGTGAACTTCATCTTCTAAAACAAGTATGTTGCTGAAATTTATGTAAATTCCATTTTTTGTAAAAGCAGTCATATTTGAAATATACTAGAAGAGCCTGCTATTTAAAGGAGAATTTTATGAATACTTTTGTGATGCTAATTCTCACCCCCAAATTGCTTGTCTTTGTATATTTGGGGTTTTTCATATGTTGGGCTGTCTTAAATCAGAGCACATCTGTACTAAACTATTAATAGCTCTGAACATCCACTTTGGGAATTTGAATCTGTTTGCTTGGCATTTTGTGCCTCTTGCAAGACTTCATTTTATTGGGTTTTGGTGCAGTTGTGTATACCTTGTGCTTTTGTTCAGCAGCCAATGAAGTAGAAACGCATTGTTTCAATTGTGAGTTCTGGTTCCTTGTATTTTCTGAGTTAGCGTGCCATCTTTGGAAAGCACTTGGAATAACAAAGTAGGTGGAAGATGTCTCTCAGAGAATTGCATGGCGATAGAATGAAGTGAGGGTGTTCGTGAAGCTTTGGAATTAAAGCTCCATATGTCAGGCCCCAACACTTAACATGTAACTGTCAGGCTTCTGAACGTTCAGAGTATGGTATTGTTTTATATGGCAGGGATGTATCTGATGGTGCAGCCTTTGCTGCCCCTGTGGCTCAAATTCATCACGGCTGACTCCTGGATGCCTGGACCTCAGGCAGCTGGATAGCCTAGCCAGTGACACAAAAACCCCCAAGAGAACAAGTATTTATTAAGCACCTACTGGGGTAGCTAGGTAGTGGTGTAAATCGAACACACCGGCCCTGGAGTCAGGAAGACCCGAGTTCAAATCAGGCTGTGTGACCCTGGGCAAGTCACTCAACTCTGTTTGCCTCAGTTTCCTCATCTGTAAAATGAGCTGGAGAAGGAAATGGCAAACCACTCCAGTACCTTTGCCAAGAAAACCCCAAATGGGATGACAAAGAGTTGGACACAAGTGAAACAACTGAACAGCGACAAAAATAGGCAAAGCACTGTGCTAGTTACTGGAAATACTTAAAGGGCTTGCCTTCATGGACCTTCCATTCTACTGAGGGCTATAGCATATATGTGTATAAGTAAGAATCAGATAATTTAAGGAGGGAGAGAGAACTAACAACTAAGGGAGATAGGAAAGACTTCCCATAAGAGGTGGTACCTGAACTAAAACTTAAAGGAAGCTATACATTCTAAAATGCAAAAGTCAGGAGGAATTGCATTCCAGACTCATTCAAGGAGACAGTAGTGGAGTGCTAAGTATCAGGAATGGCTAAGACAAGTAGACTAGTAGACAAGATGACT